ATGAGATTAAAGATAGTAATAATTTTATTAATAATAGTACTAATAATAATAGTAATAATTTGGGTAGTTGTCTAAATTACAGTCACTTTGGGGGTTACTTTCTAAGGGACCCAGAACAGAGAGAAGACCCCAATTTAGGAGCTTCTCATATCATCCTTAGCATCATGAATACGTAATCATTGTTGATTGTGTGACTGATAGAACTGTCCTGGTTCTCGCGGCCAGGTGTCTGTCCCTGTCGTGCAGGAGGTGGAGCAAATTGTTGATGTGCCGGTCGTCAAGCAGAGGCAGCCGTGCCTTCACCCACACGAAGAAAGTCTCGGGGACCCTGTCGACATTAAGTTGGGATGTTCCCCCTTATGTATGCTCACAGTCCTTAATGGGGATTCTAGTAGGGGGTACTATCATCCCTATGAAGGACTGTTAGTAGAAGGGGGAAGATCCCAAAGAATGAGGCTAGCTAGGACTTCATTCTTGCCCGCGGCGTCTTGGGTGACTAAGCGTTTGCGAACATAACGGACCCCCCCCCCCCCCCCCAGTATAAACCCCCAAAGGGTAGAATCTCTAATTTCGGAACCCCCCCCCCCCCCTATTCCAACATGGTTCAGTTCTCAACTGACAGTGCTCTGTCAGGCACCTGCCCATGGTCCAGAAAGTCGAAAAGCAGATTCAGGCTCCGGCTTCGGCAACCACACGGGCGAAGCCCCAACCCCAACTCTATAAGGCCTACCTGGACCCCCAAAGTATGTAAAAACACCCCCCCCCAACCTATAAAAAGGCTGTCATTTTGCATATTTTGGGGGTTTAGGTAGACCTGTGATGTCACAAGCTCTGAGCCTCAACTTGTCTCAACACGAAGGCCTTGAAGGGCCAAGGGTTTAGGGTTGCAGGAGTGGGAAGCAGCCGGAAACCGGTTGTCCATGGAGATGGTCGTCAATATCTTTTCTTTCCCTGTAGGGGAACCTAACCACATCTCAACCGAACCGCATCTGGCAAGGAGCTTCAAAGCACAGCTCGGCAAGCCCAACAACCTAGGCCCTAGATTCCCCCTGAGTTTTGCTTTCCAAGGGAGCTCCGGCAGGTGCCCCAAATCCAGTACATGGACCATCACGTGGAAGTGCCCATCCAGAAGCAGGCGCATGGTCCACAGCACCGAGCCCTGCATAAATGGATAAAAGGAGCACTTGGTTCTTTTTTGGCTTAGGGTTTAGGGTTTAGGACTAGGGTTTAGGGTTTAGGGTTTAGGGTTTAGGGTTTAGGGTTTAGGGTTTAGGGTTTCGGTTTAGGATTTAGGGTGTAGGGGTTCCCTTACTGTGTAATTGAACAGGAGTGGAGGTGTAGGCGATCGCACATCCCCCATGCCCGCGAAAGGAAGGAAGGTTCTCAGGTAGTTTAGGGTTCTTGGGTCTAGGGTTTCAGGGCTCTCGAGTTCTAGGGTAGTTTCAGCATCTGGGGTAGATTCCTAAACCCTAAACCCTAAACCCTAAACCCTAAACCCTAAACTCTTAGGCTGTAGGTGAAGTGGCGGCAGGTGCATGTTCCCATGGTCCAGACTGTCCAGAAGCACATCGAGGCACCACTCTGTCGGGGGAAGGCCCAAACCCAAGCTAGGACCCGGAGTAGGCCCTGATTTCCTTTTTTTAGGGTTGGCGTTCTCCTCCTGTAATCTCCTTAAAAAGCCACAAAGGGCACCCTTTTTATTCCTAGGTTACTCCTGGGTCTAGCTAAACCGCCAGAGGGGTTTTCAGGGAGTTCAGGGCCCCGAAGTTCCAAAGGGTGTTGGGTTGAGCAGGCGCGACGTCAGTGCCTGTAGCGGTTTCATAGACCCTGCGCATGTGTTTTTTCAGATCTGGGACTTTGGAATTGAGGGTTAGGGGGTTTATGAGGGCTTGAGGTCTTTAGGTCTCCAGGCTTCTATTCTTCGGGTACATGGTCCCTTAGTATGGGCCCTTGAGAGGGGACCCCTTATATACCCTTATATACCCTTATATACCCTTATATACCCTTATATACCCTTATATACCCTTATATACCACCTTTATATACCCTACAAGACCCAAGGGCCCATACTTCAGAGCCTTTCAAGAAGGTATGAATGGGTCCACACGCAGTGAGACTGAGGTGCCGCAAGTCGTTTTCGAGGATGAGGTCGTCCACATCCCCATCCAGAAGCAGGTGCTCTGCAGCTCACGGGGGGTGTCTCTTTATAGAGTTTGGGGTTTAGGGTTTGGGGTTTCGGGTTTAGAGTTTAGGGGTGTTGCTGCGGTTGGGTGCTTCAGGCTGCCCTCAGATGGGGCAGAAGACATCGCTCTGCTTCGCTCTCAAGATTGCGGCGCCGCTAAACCCTATAAAATTCCAGCTGCTGGGCTCGGGAGGGTAGCGACTAAACGGCTGAAACCCCTGAGCCCCAACCCCGGAACCTCAAGCCCCAAATCTGACCAAACCCACTGCCGCATTGGGTTCCAAGTTTCAGGCTCTTCTTGAGAGGATTTGGAGTGAACAACATCTTGTCACGAAGCGTATATGGGTGGTAAGGGGACCAAGTTAGGCGCCAATTCACATCAAGCCCTAAACCCTAAACCCTAAACCCTACACCCTAAACCCTAAACCCTAAACCCTAAACCCTAAACCCTAAACTTCCCTAAACCCTAAACCCTAAAGCCTCCACAGGTCCATGTGCCGATGGTCCAGAAGGTGCAGAAGACCGTGGAGGTGCCGCAGGTCCAGTACGAGGACGGCTTGTTTGTTTTTAGAGAATAGGATGCCCAGTAGGGTTTAGGGTTTAGGGTTTAGGGTCTAGGGCCGCGTTGAAATCCCCGAGCCTTTTGTAGCCCGAAGCTATAATACCCCAAAGCTCAGTTCTCAGGGTTCAATAGCAGAGAAGCCCGAAACCCTAAACCCTAAAATCCTAAACAGCGCCCGCACCCCCGAAAAAATCTCGTACGAAACCTAGCCCGAACTGGCCCGAGGACCAGGTCGTCCAGGTCCCCATCCAGAAGCAGGCACGGTCATCCAAAAAGTCTAAAGGGTTTAGGGTTTAGGGTTCAGGGTTCAGGGTTTACGGTTCAGGGTTTAGGCTTAAGGGTACCGAAGTTTGTAGAGTGCTCAGGCCTCTAAGGCTCTGTAGGGTTTCGGGCTTGCGGTGGCTTGGTGCACTTTCACTGCGTACAAGGGGTACGTGGCGTGCTTTTAAGATCCATCGGCGCGAGGATGCGCGAGGAGGGCTATTAGAGCGCTATGATGCTCCCTGCTCTTAGAGCCATCTGAGTGGGGATGTTCCCCCTTCTGCTGAGAGTCCTTAATATGGATTCGAATAGGAGGGGTGCTATGATCCCTATGAAGGACTGTTGGTATAAGGGGGAACATCCCGACATCTGCGGCTTAAGTTTTTCAACCACGGAACCCAAGACTTCCGAAGCACTACTTGAAGGTTCATGGGTACTTAGATAGGTTAAGTGATAAGGCAGAGCTCAATTCGGGCACTTGTAAGCCTACTTGTAGCTACCCATGAGCCTTCAAGTAAACCTTGGAAGGACCTAAACCCTAAACCCTAAACCCTAAATCCTAAACCCTAGACCCTAAACCCTAAACCCCGAAGTGTCTCAGAGTCCCCGAGAGCCAGGTCCAGGTGCCTATGGTCCAGAAGGTGCAGAAGACGGTGAAGGTGCCCCAGATCCAGTACGAGGACTGCAGTTTTTTTGGGAGAATAAGATGCCCGGTAGTGTTTAGGGTTTAGGGTTTAGGGTTTAGGGTTTAGGGTGGTAGCCTTATTCCTCTTTTGCTTAAGGATGGGATTCCTGCTTATCCTTCTCAAGCACACACCGGGCGTTAGGATTCTCTAGGCTGCCGGCGTAACCTCAAAGCTCCCCAGGACCAGATCGTGGAGGTGCCCGTGCAGAAGGTGGTGCACGTCCCCGTCGTCCAACCGGTGCAGGGGCGCGGAGCAAGGGATTTTGGGGGGGGGGGGAGGTGAGGGGGTGGGGTTTAGGGCTTCAGGGGTCAGCCCTGACTCTTCTAACCCGACCTGTAGCTCCATAAACCTCTCGTAAGTCTTGCGTAAAAGGCTGTGTCGCACCGCGTGCGGGGTAGCGGTATGACCCATGAAGCTGTAGGCGGAGAACCGAGTCCCAGGCAATTCTTGGTTGCCTAATATAGGGGCCTTAATAATTAGAATAGGGTTTTAGCGGTCATTATAGTACATCTACAAAGGGACCATCAGGGAGTCCTATTAGTAATTATCCCGACCCCTAGAGTATGCTGAGCCCCATGCTGCCATCCCCAATCAAGCTCTTTCTTGATGCCAGTGCTGCGAACCGATGGAGCGGTTTAGGGGTTAGGGTTTAGGGTTTAGGGTTTTGGGGTTTAGGGTTTAGGGCTTAGGGCCGTTCAGCTTGACTCCCCAAACCCAAGACCAGACCCAAGACGGGCAATCCTCAACTAAGCCCCAACCAAGCCCGACCAGAGATGCGACCTGCAACACCCAAACCCCACGGGCTCGTAGTTTAAACGCGCCAATCCCCTGACTGCCGGGGCAGAGCCCCCATACCTGGCGGTTCCGGGCAGTTATAAGCAGGGTTATAAGAAGGGCGACTAGAGTCATAACTGGTTATAATTCCCTTCCTTAGGATACTTAGAACCCTACGTATAACTACCCATGAACCTTCAACCCAGAGACTCCAAAACCTCTTAATTAGGGACTCTACCTTAAATCATATTAGGGTTCCGATTATAATCTCAGGGATGCTCCTTAATTAAGGGGTTTCGGAACCTTCCAGTGTCCTGGGCCCTAAACCCTAAACCCTAAACCCTCAACCCTAAACTACAGCCTAAACCCTAAACCCCAATCCCTAAACCCTAAACCCTACTTAAACGGCATTGCGGGTCGCCGCACCGCAGGCAGCCGCAGGCGCCCTGGCAGCTCCAGTTACGAAGAGGGGGTTTAGGGTTTAGGGTTTAGGGTTGAGGGGTTAGGGTTTAGGGTTTAGGGTTTAGGGTTTAGGGTTTAGGGTGCGGAGCTGCAACTGGTATTGTAGAAAGGAGTTGGTGATGGGAGTTGAAGGGGTCAATGTACCCGGAAATTTTTGGCTCAAGAACTTGGGCAATGCGCCCTGAGGAAAAGTGTCTTTCTGGGTTTGGTGTTGGTCGGTCCAGGGGATCAAGGGCTTCTGTTGGGGTTGACTGTTTTGTTCCCTGTCCTCCTTCGGTTGCCCCCCGTAGGTTATGAGCCCAAATTAGGCTTCCTGCGGAATTGGTAAAGATTTTTCGTTTGTTTAACGCCATGGACATGATGCGGCGTCGCTCTGAGCCTGGACTGTCGCCAACGGCCAATGAAGCCGAAGGAAATCGTGGTGATGGGGGTGAAGATCGACAACAAATGGTACAAGCGCTGACAGATGGTAGGGAGGTTGCAATGATACAACCAACGCCTCAGGTGGAAAACGAAGTGGTTCCGGTTCAAGCAGCAAATCCTTTCTGGAGCGAGCGGGCTCAAGAAGAAATGAGACTTAGGCAATCAAGGCCGGCAAGTCTTCCCGCGAGCGGAGGGGATAGAAGTGGTGAAGGTACGAGGAGGCCGCCTTCGCTGCAAGATCTTTTGGGTCAGGAACCTGCACCTGTTGAGAGACCATCGTCAGGCTTAATGGGCCAAATGGAACGAGGTACTATTGGTGGAGTGCAAGCCGACGAAGAACTCATTCCTGATGTTAGTGGTGAAGAGCAAACTGAAGATATGGCGGTGGTAAAGCGTGCGCTGAAAGAGTTGCTTGTGCAAACAAAGGAGCTGGGGAACAGGTTGCATCGGGTGGAGGAGAAAAGCTATACCTCTGCTGCATCTGGGTCAGCTTCAAGGGCACGGAGCTCTGGAGTGGTGGACGCAAACACGGCATATCCTCTAGGAATGACTCCAGAGAAGCAGTACCTGCCAGGACAAGTTTTCTACACGGATGGTGTGGGAGGTTTTTGGACTGTGTTGCCTGATGGGACATGGCTGCCTATTGAGGGCTACGACCTGCCAAAGGGTTGTGATCTTCAATCCTTGCCTGGGTCCAGAAAGGGGGATGTTCAAGTGGAGGATGAAAAAGAAGTGCCAATGATGCATGTAGCTGAAGGGAAGAAACCCTCCAGATTGCCTCCATTAAATTACCCCGCGGGAGGTCCTGCAAGTGGTGGATATGCAAGTGGACCACCTGGTTTAACACATGTTCCGATTACTTCCGTGCCGTCAGGTGTTGATGGTTCTGCCGCACCTGTGGGGAACCAGCCCGGTTTTGTTTCAGCTCGGGAAACTGCAACGCAAGAGAACTCAGCAGGATCGGGTGGATATACAATGGTGGATGATGTTCCGTATCGGTGGAAAATGGTCGCTGGGAAGTTGGAATTAGAAAAGGTTCCGCTCACAGCTGTTACGCCCGGTATAGGACATGGACTACCTCAAGGGCCTGGTGGCAGGGTCAGTTTACCTCCTGGAGCAGTGGTGCCACGTGGTATGCCAATCACTGGTGATAGTTCTGGAACCGAACGTCCGGAGGCTCTCGGGAAGCATGTGATGAGCCTTCCAACTTTGGCAGACTACACACCAAGCAATCCGACGGCACTGGGTGATTGGATCGCAATGATCGAACCAATGTTGTCTTCACTGACAGATACAGGAAGAGTGTGGTGGCAATGCGTCTACTCAAAGGCATATCAAGCGTATGCCAAATGGTTGAGTGTTTCTCCGCTGGAAAGGTTGGGCATCAAGGCTGAGCTGGAAGGGCTCAAGGTGGTTCAAACTGTGCATGTTTTGTTGGAGCAGAGAGCGGTGTCTTTACTGCTACAGGCGATTCCGGAGAGATTGAAGACCGAGATCGTTTCCACTCGAATGTTGGGGTCAGTGATGATATTTTACAAATTGCTGACGGTCTACCAACCAGGTGGAGCAAATGAGCGCAGCACAATGTTGAACTTCTTGGTGCAACCATCTCCAGCAACCTCGATCTCAGAGGCCATAAAGGGAGTGCGTCAATGGGCGCAATGGCGTTCCCGATTGAGGGAGTTGAGAGCGGCCGAGCCGGACGCTACCTTGCTTATCAAGGGATTGGATGGTTTATCATCCGCGTTGCTGGCGAAACACCCTACGGTTCATTTCAGAGTGGCATCCTTTCGGGAGAAATTGGGGGTGGACTACTCGCCGACCTCTGAAACTGCGACAAAACTAGCTGAAATGTTACAGGCAGAGTTTGAACTGCTATTGCATAGTGCTGGTGAACAAGAGGTTAAACAAGGCCCAAAAGGGAACTGGTGACGAGACGGAGGAGGGTGACAAAGGCAAAGGGAAAGGAAAAAGGTACAGCGGCGATGGTGAACGTCCTTTCTGTTGGAGATATGGGAAGACCGATGCAGGTTGCAAGTTCGGATCCCGCTGCAAATTCCGCCATGACAAAGACTCCCTTGAGCGAGGAAGATGTTTTGAGTGTGGGGCCGTTGGCCATCTGCAGCCGCAATGTCCATATAAGGATGGTGCAAGTTCCAATGTGGACTCAAATCCTGAGAGGAGTAGATCTAAAGGGAATTCTCCCAAAGGGGGAAAGGGCGGCAAAGGTGCGAAATGGGGAAATGCCAAAAAGGCAGAGGTAGCTGAAGGGGGAGATGAGACGGCTAATGCGGGATTGGATAAAGGTTCTGCAAGTCCCTCATCGCCATCAACGGCCAATCAGGTCCTTGTTGAAGCGTTAGAAGTGCTGAAATCTATGAAGCTGTCATCAGAACAGTCGGCATCAAGCGGGGATCCCAGTATTCGAATGTTATGTGGCTCTGGGCTGCTTCAGCAGGAAGGGAGAGTGGCGTTGGTGGATACAGCTGCTACGCATCTTGTGCGGACGCTTTTTCCATGGGAATGTTTACCAGACACTACTGTTATGGTGCAAAGCGCGCTTGGTGGTGTGACAATGAGGATTACAGAGAAAGGGACGTTGATTAGGGAAGACAATGGGCCCCTGATTATCCCTCTCTGGTTGATTTTGGAGTTTGGGGCGAACCTCACTGTGATCAATGGGATGTGTCACGTGGGTGCAAAATCTTCGCTGGACCAGCTCTTGTGGTTTGAACATGGCTGTTTGGTTATGGATTACAAAACAGCTGAAAAAATGGTTTTGCATGCTGAAAGGCAGCGTGCGTCTTGGTCCCATTCTCAATGGAGGAATGGAAGGGCGGACTGTGGAGTCGGTTCGTCGGATGCCACGTTGTTGCCGAAGCAGGGAGAAGGCCGAGGAGTATGCGTTCTACATGTGGCCAGGGTTTCTGACACCAATGAGTGTTCGGGAATGGGCATGTTGGACTCGGGAGCATCACATCCTCTCAGATCACTTCGTCCTGGAGAACAGCTTCCGCAGCAAAAGGTGTTGGTGTCTTTAGCTGTTGGATCTCGGGAGATGTGTATTACCCCAGGTGGGACCCTGGTAACTCCTGAAATGGTAGATCCACTAGTGCCAATTGGCAAAGCGAGCGCCTTGGTTGGTCTCAGAGTTCAGTGGCGTGGTGGCAAGTGCACAGCCTCACATCCTGTTCTGGGGGAACTTCGCGTTCGTGATCTGAATGGGTGCCCTTGTTTGGAAAAGGAGGTGGCGCTTCAGATCATTGATGAAATGGATTGGTGCTCACCAAAGCAAGCTTTGAAGGTGGCACGTATGGTTCAAGGGTGTCCGAATACGGACAACGAGGTGGCTGTAAAAACGTCGTTGCAAAGCGCAGCGCGGACAGCGTCAGCGAATGAGGAGGAGTTCGTCCAGGCATGCTGGAGATTTCTTCGGTGGTATTATGGGGATATACCAGAAAATATGCTGATGGAGCTGTTGCCACGTGGAGATATTGCGGCGTTGCCTTTCAACCGTCATAAAAGGAGACGGCTGGCACGACCAAAAAGGGTGGTGGTACACCTATTTTCGGGGAAACAAAAATGGCATTTTCCCAGTCGGGATGTGGAGGTACTGGAGCTGGACTTGACAAAAGGCGGTGACCTACATAATTCGAGCGTCTGGAAGTATCTTCTGCATCTGGCGGCTGAAGGAAAGGTGGTTGCTGTGGTTGGAGGACCTCCATGCAGGACAGTGTCAAGGTGAGA